AATAGAAAACATTATTTTAAATTGTTTTAAAAACGTTATTTTAAATTGTAATAATATTTCACAATATTACTGTTTTTCGTGTATCATTGAATAAATGCAGCCTTGGTAAGCATAAGAGACTTCTTTCAAAAACATATTTAAAAAAATCTTACCATCGCCAAACTTTTGAACAGTAGTGTAAATATAATAAATTACTGGAGGACATTTTGTGTGACAATGATATTGAAATCCTAAACCGGTGCATACCACAAATATATCCTAATTGTAATGTACCTACAGCTATTATTCCTTCATAATTGTGTGTTTGTATTTGCACAGGTTCTGCCAGACTACCTGAAGGGTCTGTTGAATGTTGTACCTCAGGCAAAGATCAGTGAACAGCAGTTTAACCAGTTTGCCAACTTGCTGCTCTTCAACATGGAGCCAAAGACAGTCTCTACGTGCCTACTATGTATGTTTCATTTTTAGACAGCCTTCTTTCTTGATGTGACTTTTTTGGTACGAACAGACTTATATGGTTTAAAATGTAATTTATTCAGCATCAATACTCCAGTCTTCAGTGTCGCATGATCCTTCAAAAATCATTATAATATGTGACCCTGGACCACAAAACCAGTCTTAAGTCGCTGGGGTATATTTGTAGCAATAGCCAAAAATACATTGTATGGGTCAAAATGATTGATTTTTCTTTTATGCCAAAAATCATTAGGACATTAAGTAAAGATCATGTTCCATAAAGATATTTTGTAAATTTCCTACTGTAAATATATCAAAACTTAATTTTTGATTAGTAATATGCATTGCTAAGAACTTAATTTGGACAACTTTAAAGATGATTTTCTCAATATTTCGATTTTTTTGCACCCTCAGATTCCAGATTTTCAAATAGTTGTATCTCGGTCAAATAATGTCCTATCCTTACAAACCATACATCAATGGAAAGCTTATTTATTCAGCTTTGAGATGTATAAATCTTCATTTCAAAAAATTGAGCCTTATGATTTGCTGCTCAAGAAACATAATCAATTATCAATTTAAAACGATTGTACTGCTTAATGTTTTTGTGGAAACCATGATACATTTTTTTCCAGAAATCTTTGATGAATATTAAGTCAGAAAGAACAGTATTTATTTTAAACGGAAGTCTTTTGTAACATTATAAATGTCTTTACTATCACTTTTGATCAATTTAATGCATCCTTCCTAAATTAAAGTATACATTTCTTTCGAACAAAAATCTTATTGCCCCAACATTTTTGAATAGTAGTGTATTTTTCCTAAGGAATTTTTGCAAGATACAAAGTTGAAATGTTACCTTATGAAAAGGACACCTCTGGGCACTGTTTTCCACTGGGATGTTTCTAGTTAAAAAAAACTTTTCAGATCTATTCAATTTCAGTGTATTGACTCAAAAAATGTTCTCTTTCTGTAGTCATGAGTTGACAGAGTACATCCCATTTGAGATCTTTGGAAGACAGGGGCCTCAGCAGTGGATGCAGCTGGTTGCTCAACATGTACATGCCGTCCAAAGCCTGAACCCTCACCAGGCCAGATCCCAGTTCCTGGGTATTTTATTAAATGAGGCCAAACACCCTCATTTACTATTTACCTTTTTGTTATCAGATATTACCATGATGAAAGGCAAGGTTTGTTGAATGGTGTTTGTGTGTGTACTTCAGGTTTGGTGTGTGCATTTCCTATGTTTGGATCGTCCTTCTTTTACATTCAAAGCAGCAGCAACAGCACCATCTCTGCACCATGCATCCTCGCTGTCAATCAGAACGGACTGCACTTCCTGCACAAAGACAGTCATGTGCGTATTACAAACAGATACAAAGGGAATTACAATTACAAATTACAAAGGGAATGCAGGTCTTAAAAAATCTCTATTTGCCCTTCCACATATTATGGCCTTAAAAGGTCTTAAATAAGAGCAGAATATCTTAAATTCATAAAGCCATTGCATTAAATGTTGCATACATTGCAAAAAATGTATATCTTCATCAGTGTTCTCTTTAAATCAAGATACATGGGGAAGTCGTGGGGAAGTCGTGGCCTAATGGTTAGAGAGTCAGACTCGTAACCCAAAGGTTGTGGGTTAGAGTCTCGTACCGGCAGGGATTGTACACTCTTAAAAATAAAGGTGCTTCAAAAGGTTCTTCAAGCAATGCCATAGAAGAACCATTTTTGGTTCCACAAAGAACCATTCAGTCAAAGGTTCTTTAAAGAACCATCTCTTTCTTACCTTTTTATAATCTGAAGAACCTTCTTTCGCCACAAAGAACCTTTTGTGAAACAGAAAGGTTCTTCAGATGTTAAAGGTTCTTTATGGAACCATTTAGACAAAAAGGTTCTTCTATGGCATCGTGAAGCACCTTTATTTTTAAGAGTGTAGGTGGGGGGAGTGAATGTACAGCGCTCTCTTCCACCTTCAATACCACGACTGAGGTGCCCTTGAGCAAGGCACCGAACCCCCAACTGCTCCCCAGGCACCGCAGCAAAAATGGCTGCCCACTGCTCCGGGTGTGTGTTCATGGTGTGTGTGTTTTCACTGCTGTGTGTGTGCACTTAGGATGGGTTAAATGCAGAGCACTAATTCCTAGTATGGGTAACCATACTTGGCCACATGTCACGTCACTTTTTTATACATTTACTTGAGATGCAAAATATGAAGTCTTGAACAAGTTAATGCTTAAAACAAAAAACAAATATCTGTCAGTGGGTATGAAATGTTTTCCCTTTGAATACAGTTTTTTTTATCCCATTTATAGATATGTCTTTTTTTAATCATAAATAAACTTCTTTTTGATAAATTTCTAAGAAAACAAGACTTCTTATCATATGTAATTTTTGTATCTATCATGATTTTTATTTGCACTGGAAAACCACAAAAATACTGAGTAAAAACATGAGTTTTGTGCAGTGTGATCAGAAGGTACAATAAAAGTTATTTTGTGTGCAAAACTAATTAAAAAAGTTGGAAGTTGTATTTTCAAACTTTGAAGTCTTGCTAATAATAACTCGTGTTCTCCCTAGACATTTACATTTAGAGAACACAGTGACGTATTGTGTTCCCTTTAATGTATTCCTTACATTTTCTTTAATTGGTCTTAAAAAGTCTTAAATTCACCTTCATGAAACTTGCAAAAACCCTGTAATGTTTTCGGTTTTCTAAATTGATTTTCTGTTGGCAGGAGGTGCAGGTGAAGTTCCAGCTGAAGCTGATTCAGTCAGCTCACACACAGCGGCCCAGCGCTGGATCCAGTTACCCTTATGTAGACATCCTAATAGGGGACTTAACCAACCAGAGTCACACAGTTACAGCTGGAACAGGTAACACACATTCAACGCCATGAGAACAGTGTAGAAGTGTGAATGCGTGGTTTATGAGCATATATGTTGTTTGTAGGGTCTGGAGCTGTGTCGGGTTATCGCCATGCACATAGAGAATATGCTCTCTGTCCGAGAGAAGAGGCTGACGCTGCCACCCAGTGAAATCACCATGCTGTAACAAAACCATGTACAGATACAGTGGGTACGGAAAGTATTCAGACCCCTTACATTTTTCACTCTTTGTTATATTGCAGCCAGCACCTGAGTTAAATATATGAGTGTCACAGCAAAGGGTCTGAATACTTAGGACCATGTGATATTTCAGTTTTTCTTTTTTAATAAATCTGCAAAAATGTCAACAATTCTGTGTTTTTCTGTCAATATGGGGTGCTTTGTGTACATTAATGAGGAAAAAAAATTAACAAATGATTTTAGCAAATGGCTGCAATATAACAAAGAGTGAAAAATTTAAGGGGGTCTGAATACTTTCCGTACCCACTGTATACACACAGTCTGTATACTCACAAATATTATGATTTCTGTATGTGTAATCTCTATAATCTGGTTATTTTCCATTTACTGATTACTGGTCTCATCACAACTAAACCAAACCTCTTAAGGCAATGTTTGCACTAATCATGTGCATTTATTCACATGATATGTATAGAAGACACAATGAATAAAAAGCATTATTTTTGTATTGAATGCATAATATTTATACAGATGGATCATTATTATGCAAAATTGTCCTTTGGTACTGTAGATGTGGAAGTATTGTTTTTAATGTTTTTATATTAAACTTCTACCACATGCATATACAAGTTTAAATGAAGAGAAATGTTACTCAGGAGAACAGCATGAATGTAATCTCTTTTTTCACTCACATTCTTTCACACATGCAGACTGACAATTAAATGGTGGTTTTTGAAGTAATATAACAACATTTTTTCACAGTAAAACTTTTATATTTAGCTATTAGTTAACAAATGAATCCTAATGGTCATCATATTTGTTTTTTGTTTTTCAAGAGTTTTCTTAATAAATGTATTGACTGAAACCTATGTTGAAACATTGTCCTGTAATTGTCTATATGAGACTACCAAGAAACCCCTTCACATATGAGGCATGGAGCATCATGATCTATTGTAAATTATTTAACTGGCTTGCAAATTTTGCACATCAATTATTGTGACCTAACCTTTTATGACAAAATTGTAGTAGTTAATCAAAACAAAAATAAACATGACATTTACCCTGACTAAAATGTATTTGTTTACAAAATATAAACAATTAGGGGTAGACCTAAAACATTTCTAAGAAGAAAGTACTATTTAAATGCAGTTCTAGTTTCATTGAAGTTGATATAGTTAACGTTCTGTTACTGAATATTACAAAATAATTATAAAAACTTAATAATGATGTCAGGCCATGTAAGAGCGGTTGAGAGCATGAGGCAGGTTTGAGTCCGTCCTTTCCTGTCTACTCTCGTTCCTATATAAAAAAATAATGTTTAAATAATCATAATAAATTCGAAATAATTCGTAAATATCGCAATACTTTCATAAAATTGCTTTTTATAGCTGCAGGGGTTTGCTGACAGCTGATCGCTTCGCTTATTGGCTGTCACTGGACCAGAACCTCATGCCCATAAGCCTAAGCGCAAGGTATGATGCGCATGCGCATTGCGCAGTTCGCCAAACAGTTGTGGTACCACGAGTTTGTGTTCCTTCCACGGCTCTGTGCAGTCTTGCAGCAGCATAATAATTACTATTTCTTGGATACATTAAACTAGGCTGATCAGCCCGGCGGTTGCAGAGACCAGAAGGCGTGCGTTTTAAACAACATGAAGCTGTAAGCCTGTGTCCACTGGAGGCTAGTGGTAGCGTAGCTGTGCTACGTGCTAATGTTATGAGACTGGGCCGCAGAGAAACGCCGCCTGTGATTGACAGCTGACTCACTGCTTTGGGTTACAGATTCAGTCGGGTTGCTCGTGGAACGGGGCAGTGGAAACTTTGGTTGGTGTAGTTTGTTAAACGGGGGAAGAGGAAGCAGGCGGCACTGCTGCGGGCCTTCGGTCACGTCGCGCACGACTTCAGTAACCGACACTAATATTATAACATGGGGACCTGAAGTGAATTCAGGTTAAACAACATTTTGCCGCAATTTTTTGGACTTTGCTCTTGAAAATGGCCAGTTTTACAGATCTGCGGGAGAAGCTGAAGTCGATGACACCGCACAGGGACAAAGTTTTCGAGAACAGCGACGGCGAGAAGCGCAAATACCGCGAGTCGGATGACGACGAGAGCGAGTACGAGGAGCGGCGGGACGCGGAGGCGCTCAAAGTGAAAAGTAGCATTAAGCAAGCGAATATCTTCACGCAGGAGGAGTGCGCGCGCATCGAGGCGAAGATAGACGAGGTGGTTGCCAAGGGAGACAAGGGGCTCTACAGGCCGCACACGGTGGACCGGGCGCCTCTGCGGAACAAGTACTTTTTTGGTGAGGGCTACACGTACGGCTCGCAGCTGGAGAAGCGCGGGCCCGGGCAGGAGCGGTTGTACTCAAAAGGCGAGGTGGACGAGATCCCGGACTGGGTGCACGAGCTGGTCATCGATCGCCTCGTGACGCACGGTGTCATACCGGAGGGCTTTGTTAATAGCGCCGTGATCAATGACTACCAGCCCGGGGGCTGCATCGTGTCCCACGTGGACCCCATCCATATCTTTGAGCGACCGATAGTGTCAGTGTCGTTCTTCAGCGATAGCGCGCTCTGTTTCGGATGCAAGTTCCAGTTCAAGCCCATCCGCGTGTCCGAGCCCGTGCTCTACCTGCCCGTGGGGCGCGGCAGCGTCACCATCCTCAGGTCGGTAACGTTACTAGTAATTTCCAGAACATGCTATTATTATGCGATTCTTTGAAACACCATGTATATATCCATACGAAAAAGTACTGTGGCAGTACCATAGTACGTAGTAGTAATACTATGGTATTTTGAAATGTACTATGTTACTACTATGGTGCATGTCCAAAATACCATGATAGTAACATGGTACGTTTTGGTACAGTTTTGCAAGTTCAATTAACGTTATATGTGCTGTTGTATTACCATAATACTTTGATTTATGCTATGGTATTGTGTAACAGTGTAATTACCATATCCAATGGTACTTCAAAAGATAAAATGGCACAAAAAAGTACTATAGTATGGGTACCATCGTGATACCATATTATTTTACATGGTATGGTCCAATGTTATTTTAGTATCATTGAGATACTATTATAGATTTTATCCATAGTTTGAATTCATTTCTACTTTTATATTTTCAGTTTTTATTTTAAAGTTGTAGTAAATTAGTTTTTTGTTTTTTTAAATATATCTATATAGTTTTTCATTATTGTTTTTATTTCAGTTTTAGTTATTTTGGTGAACTAAATGAATATAAGAAATGTTCCCTTGGAAAGTAGCTGAAATAAAGTTTAAAATGTAATATTTATTTACTTATTTTATTTCAGTTAACGCTTAATTGTAAGTAAAAAAAAATGTTGTATAGTTTTAGTTAAATGTAATCCTGCTATGTTCTTACCATGATCTTGGAAATATCATGCAAATAGCATTGTATTTAAAGGGGTCATATGATGCTGCTAAAAAGAACATTATTTTGTGTATTTGGTGTAATGAAATGTGTTTATGCGGTTTAAGGTTCAAAAAACACATTATTTTCCACATACTGTACATTATTGTTTCTCCTCTATGCCCCGCCTTTCTGAAACGCGTCGATTTTTACAAAGCTCATCGGTCTGAAAAGCGAGGTGTGCTCTGATTGGCCAGCTATCCAGTGCATTGTGATTGGCCGAATACCTCAAGCGTGTGACGGAAATGTTACACTCCTTACCATACTGTGATGATGCCGTCAGGCCGGAGCAACGAGACATAAACATTAAAACCCATTATAAACTAGGCATTTGTCGCATCCAGTGGGGACATAATTATGGATTATAATGACTTAT